CGCGTTTTCTCTGTCTTCGCAAAGAGACTTTACGGAACATTAACGACCGTTTAAATGTCATTCCACGGAAAGATAGTCCTTCTTCTTATCCCTCCTTATATCTTTCCTTTTCTCTCAGTATTTCTCTTGGCTGGCTTCGACCAACTCGATGAAAAGAATAAAGGTTGTCGTTCAGAGAGTGAGTGAAAAAGACAGAGAGGGAGAGAAAGAGAGAGAGAGAGAGAGAGAGAGAGTTAGTGTAGGCGGGGATCGTTGAAATCTTGCGTAAGATCATCGTACAACTGGAGAATCTATATATTGAGAATTTATCTCACTGTCTTTTTACAACTTATCAAATACAAGTAGCCCGAAACAAATGTTGCGAATATATACTTTTATGTTCTTTTACGATATATCCTCGTATTATCTAACCGCTGGTATATATATATATATATATATATGTATATGTGTATATGTTTGTAGAACTTTTTAATCGCTTTGGCCGACAGAAATGAGATTTTAATGAAAGTAAGAAAGTTATCGTTTCTTTTTTTATTTATTTTTTTTTTCTCTCCCATATATTTACTCTATCATATTAGTGTCCACGAAAAAAAGATATATCAATAAAACTTGACGTTACACTCGTTAAATATATATATCTATTTCTCTTTATTAACGTTAATAAGATCGATGTAATAGTTTGTTTTTCTTTTTATTTTATTTTTGATTTTTTTTTCTTTTTTTATTTTTTTATTTTTTTTTTTTTTCCCCCATATCCTCTTACAAATTATTAATTTTGTACTGTTGTAATAGAAAATCGTCTATCTTCGACGAAATAGAAAAAATAAAATATTACGAAAGAAAAACTCTGATCTTAATCGCTTAAGATCCTATCTAATGTTAAACGACACGAGTTAGTATGAATTCGTGATTTTATGAAAAGATAAGATGCGAGAAGTAAAGGGAAGAGAAGACGGAAACGATCGTATGTAAGCTGGCAGAGTCTTTATTATGAAAGATAAAACGTTCGAAATGCGTGACGCAACAACGATCGCACGTATTAATTCAGGCCTTGCAGACCGATAGTATGTTGCGGGTTGCCTCGAGCGGTACGAAGAAAGACGAACATAGTATACATGTATATTATGTAAAGATATATGTACATATACATATATATATATATATACCCACATCAAACGCACATACATTCGTTCGTTTTTAGAATATTAAAGACGAGGGACTTAGAGATGCGCAACAATCGTTTATTTGTATTTTTGATACACGTGCACGTATATACTAGGTGGACTAAAAGTTTCTATGTGTGATTTTTAAAAGATTTTTATCGTACTTTTTTGCAAGATCTAATCTCGTTCAGACTAATTTTTCTCACTTTTATATTAGTATAAAAAATTTCTAAGCTTGCAGTTTTTTAATCTGAAGAAATATACATATAACACATACACACACACGAACACATATATATATATATATAGAACGGTTGTAAAAATGCTTCCTTGTTTTTGTTTCACGAGTAAGAAACTTTCGTTTCTAAGTAAATATGTTTTGTGTTGACGATCTAGAAAGTTATAAATGTATATATATATATATATATATATATATATATATATATATATATATATATAT